AACCAAATTGGTAGGACAGTTTCAATAATTAACACATTGCATACATTCTTCCTAGTGGTTAATTGCTGTACAAGATGCGGACTTGATATCCTATTTACAAACTGTATTAGAACAAATCACTCTATTCATTAAGAGAATGTAATTATCTGTCCTAACCACTTTGAATACACAGATACAAAATGGACATTCATCTGTATCCCCTTTTTTTGTTTAGTTCCATTATTTGAATATTACAGGTGTGTTAACTCAGCAAAATATTCTAAAAGAGTCCAGTAGTCCAGAATAGCATTGGGTCTTCCGCTTGACTGGCAATATCAGAAATTGTTCACCTGAGTCCCCTACAGCTCAACGTAACAGCATGGCTTTACTTCTTATAAGAAAATGATGTAATATTTAAGCTTGTATGTGATTTATGCCATGTGACATTGTGGTCTCAAGATGCGTCCTTTCTCTTACGGATAGCTCAAGTTTATCCTTCTTTATGGCAGAGTAGTACTCCATGGGGTGTGAATACCATTTTTTGTGTGTTCATCTGTTCCTGGACGTACAGACCGCTTCCAAGGTTTAGCTGTTATGAGTGTTGTGCTGCTGTAAACGTGGGTGTGGATGTGTCACACTGTAACCCAGTGTCTGTAACTCTTCGGAGAAGAGATCTGGAAGGGGAACAGCTGGGGCAAGTAGACTTCTGGGTTTAGTTTTTTGAGGACTCTGTACTGATTTCCATAGTGTTGCGCTGGTTTACATCCCCACCCAGGCGTGGCAGACGTCCTCTACTCACATGGCCTCACCGGCATTTGTTGCTGGGGTCAGGTGGCATCTCTGTAATGGCCAGAGGTGCCACATGTGTCTTCATGCATTTTTTTTTTTTTTTTTTTTTTTTTAATGAATTTAGGACAGTGCCTACAGGGCCTGCAGGGTCCACTACGTAGATCCGACTCATAGTGATTCTCCTGTTTTCAGCCTTTTTTTTTCCTCAGAGAATCTCTGGGTTGTTTCTTTGCTCCGTTGGCTATTTTATTTTCTATGCAGAAGATCCATTATGATCCCATTTGGTGATTGAAGCTTTGGCACATGGAAAGCCAGATTTGCCAGCGCCATTTATTTTTAAATTTTATTTATTTATTTATTTGAGAGAGAGAGAGAGAGAGAGAGAGAGAGAGAGAGAGAGAGA